GTTTTGAGTTATTTTCCACAGGTCTGTTTTTTAAATACAAGTCTCTTACACCCAGGAAAACCTTACTAAAGCCATTAGTTAGGGTAAAGAAATAGTATCTAGCATTTTTTTTTTTAATTACTTCCATGCTGTTGACTGCCTTTCACAAGCAGAAACGGACCTCTCAGCTGCTTAAGAACATCACCAAATTTTGCTTTCGTTTTGACTTTGTTTACAGCTCTTCAGGCTTTTTTCTTTGGTAACTTTCGCACCTCTGCCATTTGAATCATCTTTGAGACTACGACTTGATGAGAGACTTAGCCACTGGAAAAGATGAACATCCTTTCACTCTTTAATGGAATTTTTTTTTGTTTTGTTTTCTACTTTATGTTCCAATAGCCATCCATGTGTGTTCTGGATTTAGGCTGCTTGTTTGCCTTTGGTTCTTGCCGGTGGCTGTGACTGCAGCAGACTAAAGCAGTGGTCCAGCTGGAAGCTTGCAGGGCAGCCAGTGAAAGGTATGAAACCCAATGACTGAACGACATCTACTTTGCCTGTCTTCATGTGGCTTTATTAAGGTCATGAGTCTGGCACCTTCACACTGTTAAGGTATGCTCACCTTCCTGGGCTTACCTACATCAGTTTACTCAGTGATTTTCTTTGGTTGCAAAGATAACTACTGTCCACGCTTAAGCCTTTAGTTTTGCCCTTTCTACAGAAATCCAAGATTGAGATCCCTAAATGGAGGGCAGACTCACGTTTTGTAGCAGTCTATATTTTATACCGTGGTAAAAGTGCAGTTTGTTCCCACTGTTATTTGTTCATTCATTTGGATTTCATTTTCCTAGCAATTTAGCATGTCTGAAAGAATGGGCCCCAGATTTTTTTTTAAAGTACTTGCCAGGTATATGACTGCTGCACAACTAAAAGCTTGTCATGCTTTGATTTTATTCACATGGAAAATTTGCCTGCTTTTGCATAAGCATTCAGATTGGGTTTTATACTCAAGTCTTAGGTAACTGGTCTAAAGCTAGTCTGAACATAAGCAATTACATTGAGAGACACACCAAGCGGCTGCATGTGTATTTGTTCTTTCTCAAGAATGTCTTTGCATATTTCTTTTTTAAAAAAAAGTATTCTACAAGTTGTCTTTAAAATTAGTTGTTTGGAATACATGTCAGTCTTGTTTGAGGGACAGTCTCTGTATTTTAACTTGTGAGTCTTGGATCTCATAGGCTAATCTCAAATGGCTCTTGAAGTATGTGAGAACACTCTTTATTACAGCTTTGTGAAGCCTTTGTAGAAATGGCAAGTGTGTATTCATCTCCTGAAAGCTTGTGAAGAATTTGCTGTAGCTTATGATAGAGCTCCTCAGCCTTCAAGAATGTAAACTAGATTCAGTGACATTAAAGATAGATGTTCAAAAGGAATTGGCACATGAACAGAATTGGGTTTTTAATACCTTTTTTAACTTGTGCAATTGTGCTATTTTACTTGATTGAGCAAAATGATTAAATGTGTTGTTTTGTTTTGTTTGTTTTTTTTTTTAAACTAGATGAAATAGATTAAAACCTCTTTTTTTAAAAACTATTTTGCAGTGAATGTCACTTAGTCTGCAGTGCCTTCACATACTTTGCTCCACTGCTATTCATCCTGAGGTTTGGCTGTAGGCTCAGAGCTGTGCTTTAGCAGCAGAAACCCTTACTGCTCAGCCTCACTCCTCATTTAATTTTTATTTTTGTCTGCAAATAAAATGCTGGGATGAGTTCCTGAAATGTAACTAGCCGCCTTCCCTGGTTGTTGACCTGGTCTGTACAGCACGTTTTTGCTGAATGCCAGTCTTTAAATAATTTTTTGGAATTTCTGCCTTTGTGGCTTTGTCTTCGGCCGTGTTGTCATAGGCATAGACTTGATGTCTCCCAGTCTCATCACATATTATGAGAAGAATGTATCTGATACAGAGAGGGAGCATTAGATGAGACAATTTGCTGGCTGAGATTAATGCTCAAAACTCACGATCAGCACCCATGTTAGCACTGGAGGAAATAGAATATAGTTTATCTGCTGTGTTTATCAATTATGGGACACAGGTTTGAAGATTAAGAAATTACTTAAAATGATAAGTTCTTAAAACCCGTCACATATTGCAGTAATCCGGAAAGCAGTAAGGAGGGAGGGGGAAGAACTTTACACTCATGCATCACTTGCAGCTTTTAGAGGATGATTTAGTAGGTAGAGTTAATGCTTTTGAACAGTTGGGATTGATGGCTTCTGAAGTCTTCAGTTCAAGCTCTTGTGAAGTTAATTCTGGTATTGTGCACTGACTTCTTCACTACTCGTTTGAGGAAGGGGTTATCCTGGAAGAAAGCAGGGAAAATAGTCTCTCAGCCTGTTAGTTTTGGGTTTGTAAAACATCTGCACTGAAGTTCTGAGCCTGCCTAACAAAATCTGCTTGCCAGCAGGAAAGCACGCAGCTGTTTGAAGGAGCAGGTCTCACTGATACAGAGTGGAGGGCTTCATTAGCGGGTTTCCTCTGGGGACAGTCTGTACCTAAAGGTTCTGTCTAATGTATTTTCTGTTTAAAGAGAGGAAATTCCAGATGATGTTTGTATTTTTCTGTGTATTTATACTGATAAGTGCATTAATATTATAACACTTGAATTAGTTTTTGAACAGGCCTTTTGTAACTTGGGGGTAGTCAGAAGAGAGATTTTAACCTTCTAAACTTTTGGACCTTCCAAAGTAAGCAAAGATCATTAAGAAATGGAGGTTTAGACTATGACTGAACAATGAGAAGCTCCAAGGAGGGAATTTTAATGTCAGAGGCAATCAACTGTTTTGACCAATGACTAAAATTTATGTGACTTTCAGCAAGTAGGGTGTGTTTGCTATGGATTTGCAATCTTATTGATGTTAAATGGGGGAAAAAACACTCCTTGTAGAACACTTTCTTTGTACAATCATTATCCCAAATGTAAAGAAATTGTCTTTCCCTTCTTGACTGTGGGATTTGAACAACTTTCAGTAATGTTTCAAAGAATACGGCGAACATATCATCTATGGTTTCACCTTTCAGCTGCTTCCTTGAGAGAGTGCATTTGCAGTACATGGCCTTGATTGGCAGGGATTTCAATACGCGTATGGACTGCTGTGTGTGGGCACTGGAGAAGGAGACTGAAAAAGTACGCCTTGCACCTGGGTTGAGGTCTCTGCTGGGGCTGCTGATTTGATTATCTTCAGGAACCCAACCTATTGCCTCATATTGGTTCCCAAGGATACTTCATCTCCTCTACAAATGAACTTCATCTTGCTTATAAAAAGGTCTGCTGAGGTGGGGGGGCTGCAACTGCAGGCTTGTCCTGGACTCCAAGAAAGATTTTTAGGCCCATACTTGACATCAAGTTTTGATGTTGTGATATGAAACCTTAGGATGAGTCCAAGACCTCTTGGCAGCTGGGCTGAAGCATATGCCTGAGCAGTAATGCCCAAAGCAAAGTAACAACTGTAGTGACGATGGTGAGAGAAGGGGATTTGTGCACTGCTTTCTAGCAAGAGAAGGGAACTTTCTCTAAAGGTTGGGTGTGGGGGTTTTTTGTGCTTTTCACTGGGCATCTATAGAAATAAAGATGCACAGCAAAATTGTGGGTGTCGTAACTTTAATCAGAAGAGGCTGAACTGCAGCTACAAATCTTTGGACTGCTTCCCTCTTCCCACTCTCCTGGTTGAATCTGTTGTGTGGAACCTGCGGCGTGTAGGTTTTAACATCCCCAGCATTTGCTGAATCTGCTAGGCGTCCTTGCAGAATCGGCTGCGGCGGCTGGGCCAGCGGAGCCTGCCAGGCCGCAAAGGCCATTACTCCATGGTTGCTCCCTCCTCCTACACACAAAAAGGGGTGCCTCTGGGCATGTCTGCCCTGGGCACTGTGGTGCTCTGTGAGGCCACTGAGACAAGAAAAGTGATAGGCAAGGTTAATTAGCCTCAGTACAGTACAGCCTTAAATACGTCGTCGGTTATCTTGGGGTTTGGAAGGTGAATAATACCCCTGCGTGGTGCTGCCCTGCTCGGTGGCTCCCCAGCACAGGGCTGCTCAGGGTGGGCTGGGGGCACCCGAAATCACCTCACACAATGCAACGGAGACGTGTCCTGGTTTTGTTGCTCCCTGGGCCAGGGTAGTACAGCTCTTGAGATCGTGCTGCAGTCTGTCTGGATGCAGGGGAGCGGTCAAACATGTGCTTAACAGCAAGTCTGCACTCGCTTCTGAGCACGGCTTTAGGTCTCTAATGACAGACATCCTTTTAAAACCCAAGCTGTGTTTTCTTAAACATTTTATCCTTTTAAGTATTGCACATGCATTTTAGGTCACTTGAGCTTGCTTCCTTTCTGCTTGCTTGGAATTTTTTGTGCTTTTTTTTCCATCGTGCTTGCTAGTCAGAGAAACAATTTAAATTTTCCATGTACTTATATATATATATTTTTATATATATGTGCTCACTTTTGCTTTTACGCTTCTCTCACACAGCCTTTTGCTGTGGGTGAGCGGAACTTACTCGGCAAAGAAAGCAAACAGAGAGACCAGACCCATCGCCCCCCGCCCCTTGAAAGAGCAGAGGGCATGTGGAATAAATCAAAATGCGAAGCATGATAACAAGATCCCATGGGAAAGGGAGCCTTGCGATTGTGTGCCGGCGTGCACTCCTCTTAGATACGGCGGCCGGGGGGCTCGCCCCACGGCGGCCGGGGGGCTCCTTTCTTTCTCGCCCGCATCTCCCCTCCCAATGTCGCCGATCCATTCACCGCCGGGAGAATTGATTAGCATTCGTCGGGAGCCTTGGGAGACGGGGGGAGAGAAGGGGAGAGCGGCGGGCGAGGGGAAGGAAGGACGGGGGCGCGAGCCAGTGGTGCCGGTCCCCACGGCGCGGCGAGCCGGGGCACGGTCGGGCGCAGGATGGCTATTTTATAGCTGGGGACCGCGGTGACGTATGGCTGAGCGCTCGCTGGCACGGCTCCTCGTGGACCAGTCAGCAGAGCGAAATTGAAGCTGACAAGACTTTTCTGGCGTTTTGGAAAGGACTGTAATCTACTGTAGGGGAGAGAACAGAGCCGCTCAATCACCGCTGCTGTAAATAGGAGACGGAAGGGAGTGAGAAAGGAGGCGAAGAGAAAAAGTGCTTGCTGGGGGGGGAGGGGGGGCGGCATTTTTGGTGGATGGTATGAAGCCAGCCATGGAAACTGCAGCGGAGGAAAATGCAGAACAAAGCCAAGAGAAAAAAGGTACCCAGGGGTCTAACAATAGCCTGTTTAAATCTTTTCATTCAGGGAACTTAAAGAGGTTTAGGCCAGTTTTGTCACTTTTTCGAATAGCTCTTAAACAATCATTACTGCATCTTCGGGCTTTCAGCTGTCCTTTCCTGCATGGCTTGACAACAAATTAATAGAGCAGCAATCTTTCTGTCTGCGTCTGTATTTGCTCTGAATCTGTCCTAACCCTACCTGAAATGATGTTTGCAAAAGAAGTCTTGTTACTGCTGCGTCTTTGACGGATTTTGGTAAATTTGGTTTACAGAGGTAGCGTGTGCCTGTGTGCTTGCATGTTGTTTTCAGAGCCATAATCTGGTGTTTTCGTCGAGACTAGCCATGTAGCAAGTCTTTGCAATGCAGTGTGGGAGACCTAGGTTATAATAGCATATAATAGATTATAATATCACACAACCTTCGTGTAGTTAGCTTCATGCCAAATGCTACTCTTATTTTTCACTTAATTTTCCTTTTCTGTGGTATCATCTGGCAGATTTTGCTTTTGTAGAGATCTGCCTGCGCAATGGTAACAGGGAATAATGCAGTGAGTTTTACAACGTTAGATTTCTGGATGTGTTCATCCCCAAGAATTGCTGCTTAATGGAGAGAACAGTTCCATGGTAGTGGTTCTGCAGTAGGGAGATGGCAGCGCAGAAGGAGAGGCGCTTCATCCATCCCAGCCTTACAGGTGATTCATTTGGTCTGGAGCGCTGAACTTCAGAGGGTAAATTCACTAGAAAAGGATGCTTTGTTTCTGCACCATGTAATTTATGCCAAATAAATGTCCCTCTTCAGTGCAGCAGACTACTGTACAAGTCGTAGCAATATTTTTTTGCTAAATGATACAGCAGTAACAAAATTATTAACATTTCCACTGCCTTCTTACATGAGTCATAGTATACTTTCGAACCTCTTGTTTGTCGTTTATAAGCAAACTGGTCATAAGCAGGTGATACACAACTAATACATTTCCCCAAATAGAATAGTTTCATTTATTGTTAAACAGTTCAGATATGAATGTAGTGATAAATCTCGGTACTGTCCAGTACCAAATTTTGTTTTCCTACTTTGCATCTGATTCCTCCTACACACTTTGTATAATTCAAACCTAGCTTCAGTTTCAAGTAAATTAAATTTGTCAAGTGATTAGACATAGTACTACATAATCCCTTAGGGATTTCACAAAAGGAGGTCCACTGATGAGAGATTAAACTCTGAAAGCCATTAGTGTACGTGGACAATAACCCACCTCACTGCAGATTTTGAGTAATTAATGTACAGAATGTCCTAAATACCTTGACTATAAAACCACCTTGAACTCACAGATCATTCTTCAGAAAATAGAGCATTTTTTCCTTCTGATTGATGAGTTTCTTTTAAACTGATAGAACTCATGTACAATAAACACCACAGGAAGTTATCTGTATGCATTAGCAACTGTGCAAAATGAAATGTGTTGCTGAGTGTGTTTATGATGAGTTTATGGTTTCCCTTTTATTTTGGCAAGGATGAAAGCACAACATGTAAAACAGTAAATCTGTTACCAAGTCAAGGTGGTTGATCCGTTGCTTCCATAGGATGCAAGCAGGGGAACTTGCTATCTTAATTTTACCACCATTTCCTAGTTTTACTGTGATAATTTTATACTTTGGATCTGTTACATAGGTATGTATATGTAACACTTCAAGGCTTTGTTCTTGCCAATTCCCTAATTTCTGAAAGTAACACACGGTCTCTCACATTATGCTCTTCATTTCTATTCACTTAAGTTCCCAATATGTTTCGCAGTGATTAAAATACAGAAAACTGAAACAGTCCAACTGTTTCAATAACAAAATAAATAGCCCAGATCCCCCTGCAAACTTACTGCCATGAAGTGGTGATGTAGGAGGAATATTCGGTTTGGGGGACAGATTTTCCAAAGCGCTAAGACTGTCGAGCCCAGTTGAGATTTCAGATGGGCTCAGTGGGCATCAGGTACCCCAGAAATGGCAGGATTTTTCAAGAGTGCTCTTTCACCAGCAGCTCTCATGGAGAAAAATTAGCTTTTCTCGATGTGTAGAAACTTCCAGGAGAATGCTCCTGCTTCATTTAAGGGTATAAAACAGAAGCTGCCCTCTTCAAAAAAATGTCGATTTACTGTCTGGACCGGGTCTCCTGCTTGCTATGCCTTACATGCTTGCCAGGCTTGCTACATTGGCTTTGCCCTCTAAGATCCCACCTGGATTTAGGGTGATGGCTGTACTTTATGAGGTGCCCTAGATCCTGTGATTGCAAGACAACTGCCACAGCTTGAAGCAATTAAAGTGCTATCACAAAGACTTTTAACTCTTCCTCCCAGAAATGAATTGCAAAGTCCAAGGAGATAAGCCAACATCTGAAGGGGTTTGGGGGGATGTCGCTATTGCTGAGACTGAGCAAGGAGAAGATCCTGAGCACCTCACTTTGGGTATTCAGGTTCACACACAGTATGCTTTGAACTGCCAAGTTCTGGGGAAAATACCTGCATTTAACTAATAGCAAATTGTATTTCTAAGCTAATTTTAAAGCTTTTTTCCCTTTACCAGAATTTTAAACTTCAGGGTTTTGGGTTGTGTTTTTTAATGAAAGGACCTCCTCAGTGATGTAGTGTAGTTGTACAGAATAAATACTCGGAAGAAGTTGGGCTAGGACTGCATGCTGTCCATATACAGGGCTCCCTGTACTCAGGAGAATGCTGGAGAGCAATACTGCCCAAGCACTTGGGATGAGCAGCAAGATCTATTTTCAGTCTGAGCACCTAATACAGTCAGATCTGAAGGGTGGTGTCACATAGGTACTGGTTTGTGTTTCCCATTCCTGTGTCAAATGTGGATGGCCAGCTGTTTGGGATTGCAGTGTAGAAGAGACGATTTACACAAGCTAATGTGCTTTATGAATAATTGCTGATAAATGATTGATCTTAGTTAGATTTTTGAAGTTTGATAAACTGTATATGGCTTCCAGTTTAATATTTTAATAATTATTTTCATGAATCCTCTGCCTGATTCAGGCAGTGATACTACCCAGCTGATGGATTCAGTGTTTATCAGACATTTGTTTCTCTGCACCCAGATGAGTGGCTGCTGCCCCAGTTCTTTTAATTGGAAATGGAACAACACCCATGTTGATGGAGATAAGAAATAAGTCAGCTTTATACTGCATATCAGCGGCCCTTATCAGAGGAGAACACCCTGAGCAAGCTAGAGCAGAATGTTTAACTGATACTTTACGGAGCTGCAGGACAGATTGGATGCATTTTAAAGATGAAGGTTTACAAATTCTTACAAATGACAGGGTTTATCTTGCAGGCATTAAAATAAATCAAAACGTGAGGACTGGGCAGGCAGATTTACTGAGGTAGAATAAATAAGAAAAACAAAATGCCGTTTTGCATCAGCAGTGAAGGATATAGATCCTGATACACATTAACAGAAACAAGAAGTTTCCCTTTTTACTTAACTATGAGAAAGATTACCAGGTTGCAAAATTCAAAACACAAATCAAAACCCATCTGTGGATGACCATGGTGAATTCACCAATTACATATTGGAGGATGTAAGAAAGCCATTACACTAGGATATAGTTTCCCTGTATGAATACATGCGATGTTCAAATTGCATATGCTGTGCTGAGGAATAATGAAAACCAGCCTGAGCAGCTGTACCAAAGGTTCCTTGTAATTGGCTCTTCCCTACTAATGTGCTCTCGATGAAAGAAGACCTCGTGCTCAGGAATGGCTGTGGGCTTTATTATTTTCATTGTATATGAAGTGATCTTTCCACTTTTAAACTCTGAATAGACAAGTATATGCTAGTCAAAAATAGAAAGAAAATACATCTCATAAAAACAACTGTACAACTGTTTACAGTAGTGTAAATGAAGCTACTAGTGTGACGTGAAAAAGGAGTGAATGTGTACTTTATTTCACTTTTAGTGTTCTTTTAATGCAGTGAGCTTATGACATTTCGATGCATCACAGATAGATATATTTTTCATTACAGCAAACTGAAAAAAATTGTTTTTTTTTTATATACATGTTATGGTTACTAACCAGAATTTTCAAACGTACCCCCTTAATGTTAGGCTCACAGTGATGCCAGAGCTGTCAAGCTATTTAAAGATTTTTAGTATGCTGCATATTTTTTTCCCATTTCAAGCAATTTACTGGTGTTTCAGATCCCCCTGAAAACAATAACTGCTTTAAGTATAAGTCCCTGAAGAATATGACTGTAGGAAGAGAGGTCCAGCCCAGGGAGAATCTGGGACACGCGATATTCTGGGGATAATAATTTGGCAGGCTTAGTGATTTAGGTTTTAATGAATAGGATTTGGTTTCTAAATAGGAGGGGGTTGAAAAACACTCAGAGAACGTACTCATACTGGTTTGAATGACCTCATGAAAGCAGAAAACCTAGACATATGTGTCACAGGATATGGTAATGGGGCAAAAACCCAGATGTCACTGTATGTGCACCATGGACTCTGCAGTGGGAGCAAAGGGGATAAAGAGGGGTGGGGGAGTCCACCTCTGTTACTCTGACCCTTCCCCGTTTTCTGGCCAGCCTTGCTCCTAATGCAGTATTCATCACCAGATTTCCAGATCACAAACAACCAAGCAACAGCCCTCCCTTTGCTCCTGAGCGCTGCTTCGTCAGCTGAGACAGATGAATGTCATAACTGTTTGTTTCCTCTAAAACCATATGCCAAAGGCAGCAAACGTGAGGATGCTGGGCACTGGGAATCTTATTACAGGCGTGCAAGATGATTCATCCCAATGAATATCGAACACCGCAGCCGCCATCAGTGTGCCTGCGTGGTGTGACATGAAGACGTTGTCAGTTTTGTAGCTGCTGTGTCTGTCTGTGCAGGACTGAGTACAGCCTGATCCTGACAGGAGGCCTCGAGCGGCACGAGCTTGGCTGTGCGTGGGGAGTACTGTAACCTAGACCTGGAAATGCAGTTAGTGTATTAGTTCCTCAAAAAACAAAAGATGAAGAAGTCATGGAAACCTATTTCCTTTCCTAATCATTCGGGGTACAGAATTAAACTCTTAATTTGTGTGTACTGTGTGCAGTAGTTCTTACGCCACTGAAGCCTGCAGGGCTTTTGCCCTGGTGGTGATTTTGCATGAGGGGGCCTGGGTGGGTCCTGGGGAAGTCACCAGAAGATACTCTCCAACTTCAGAGGTCGTGCCAGGCGTGCAGTAAGGGCCACCAAACAGCCATTGCTAAGTGGCTCTTTGCAGAGCAGTGGGAAAACTGAGATTCCTGACGGAGTTTGAACCATCTCCTAACGAAGGGAGCCCTCTTACTGCAAAACCAGAAATTGCTAATTAAAACCCCCCAACTTCATAGAAGATTTTCACTTACAGACGTGATGCTACAAAGTTTACATACTGTCTCCGTGTTTCAGGGTTTGACCCTTGTCCCCCAGCAGACAGCAGTGATTTCACCAGTGTCCCCCAGGCCAGGGGAGACAGGCAGCTGCCTGCACTGCTGCGCTGAGCAAGTGGGTTTTGTAGCCACTGCAGGAGAAATCTTGAATTGTGGGTTCAGGCTGGTAGGATAAAATCCTTTTGATGGCAAGGGTTCAGTCTAGTTGCTGCTGCAATGCAAGTGAAGCACTTTTTTTTCTCCCTAGAAGTCTTTGCAGCTGGTTGTTTTTAATTTATTTAAGTCTGAATCTGTTACCAATGTCCAGTAAGTAGCTTCAAAAAAGCAGGGAGCAGACAGCTGGGAGGGAGGGGAGACACCACATGCAGTACTAGCAAAGAATTCTGTTATTTTCCATTTTGTACCCAATTCAGTTGTTACAGCGTTCCTTATAGTCTCAAACAGGATTGTTCCTGTCTAAGCAGAAGGAGATGATATCATCCTGAGCATGCACAGTCGTTTTGGCACAATACTTGCAACACGTTTTGGATTTGGTTATGCTCATAAGATGTGGAATTTGCCATTCCTAAAAGGAAGGGTAGAGCCGTACAAAACAGAATAATGTCTTCTAGGAAGAATAAGCTACCTGATACCTGCTTGCTGTTTGTGCCTGAGTGGCAGAGAGGGGAGAAATACCAAGCCACAAAGTATCCATCAGAGAGCCATTGATACTAAGTTCGCATCCCAAACCCAAAAGAAAGGCTGTTTTAGTATTGGATTTCACTTGCCAGTGTAGGAGACGAACACATTCTTGTTTCAAATCTCTAGATCCAACATTTGGATTCGAGGCCAGGATTTTTTTTCTCTTCTTGATGTATGTAAATGTAACTGTGCCAAACTCCTCATTGCAGCAGCAGCAGCAAAACTGCATGAGGGAGGGACCAGGTCCAGGACCTTTCTAGCCTCCCACAGGCCAGAAATTTATAGCATTCCTACTCCCTCTGCCCACCCCCCCCAATTTGTCTCTGATCTAATCTACGGTAGATGGGCTTTCAGAATCATAACCTTCACTTCCTCTGCCTGCTAAATTGCTACCGAGTTGGATTTACTTTGGCCTGAGATGGTGGTTACTTTTTCATTTAGTGCCTGCAGAGTGGGGCTCTGGTACATTTTAAATAAAGATCTGTCTGTCTCCCCCTGACAGCCTGACAAAGCCATAGTGCTGCCGAGGGGGGACATGTAAGTTCAAAAGTAATTTGATGTTTTTTTGGCAGTGGCCACTTTGAGAGAGCTCGGGAGCCTGTGCCGATGAGTGTGTGACGAGTGTGTGAGCGGGTAGGGTGTGTCATGGTGCGTGGGGTCTCGTTGAAAAGACGGGGATAACTGTTCTCCTTCATTGTAAATTTGGAACAAGTCTGTTTCAACATGCCTGATTCAGATTTTTGGATATGAGCAGAGCCTAGGTGTGAAATAAAGCCCTTGATTTTTTTTTTTTTTTTTTTTTTTTTTTTTTTTTAATGTAAGAAAATAATGGAGTAAACTCCCATGTTTGCCCTACCTCTACACATGACAATAACCATTTTCTTTGACAGATTTAGGGTCTTTAAAAAAAAAAAACAGGTAATGTGGTTTTCCATTACTTTGTCTTCCCTTACTTCTAGAGCAGAGCTCTTTGCCATGGACTAAGAGATGGTGACATGAGAGTGGGTGGGGGGGAAGGAACAGAGAGTCCTTCCTTATGTGTTTAATTCAATTCCTAGGTGGAGCTTTAGCTCTTCAGCCTTTCTTAACACCTGTGTGACTGTTTCCCTGTCCATCATCCCTCCCACCCCCTCCCTTAGTTTGTAAGGTTATATTGTTTCTTAAACTACAGGGTGTTTGTTTTTCTGGGCTCTTATTTTTAAAGTTTAATGACTGAAAGTACTGAACTAAAACTTGCTGGTGACACTGACTTTTTACCACCTAAAATTGGCAGTGATCACCAGACCAGAAATGGAAATTGGCAGGTACCACTGGATGTACAGGAGTTCAAGGCCACACCGGTACCATCATGTGCCAGCATTGAGAGGCAATATTAGTCCTTTGGGGATTCAAGGTAAATAAAGGGCTGGGTGAAAGGGAAATGGAGAGTTCAGAAATGGTAGTAGCATAAACTTAATGCTTTGCACTAGTCCTAACAATTTAAGATAAATGTTCTTCTGTTTTTCTTGTTTTGTTTGTTAAGGCTTTAAGGAGTCTAGTTCTTTCATATGAATACTTGACATAAATTTAAATTCGGCTGCTAATGCTTGAAAGACAATAATGTGTGGTGAGGGACACCTCTCTCTCAACTGTGCTGCCCGATTCCTTTAAAACTGTTTACAGATGAGAGGGTGTAGTATGGGTTTTGTATGCAGGTGAATCTATCAAAGTGATCAGCCACAGATGCAGTAATTGACACTAAAGCAGTGATAGCACATCTGATGCGCTGGTCTCCTACAATATGCTTTCTAGACAATATTCCATGGTTTTGTCTGCATTCTTCCCTTGCCAGAAGCAGTAAGTGTGTATGTCAGAGTCTAAAGGAGGATTTCAGGTGAGGCTTTAAGACATGTTTGGTGATTCCACATGCCTGTCCTTTTGATAACTGGCTTGAATCCTCAAAAAAATCCTATTTTGTTTTCCTGAAGCTTCATTTTAAGAGTTTGGGGGGGAATTTAATTTTTCAGCATCTTACAAAGGCACCTGAAATCAAGCACACAACTGATTGCATTGGAAAATTCCAGTCTGAGGGTTAGCACAGCGAAGGATATAAACGCTCAGAGATAGCATTTGCCACTAGCTCTGTCCAGCAATCCTCTTCTCTTTATGGGGCTGATTGACTGAAGCCTGCTTGACAGCTTGTTTGCTAGAGATGCCTGCCTCCGCACCAGAGACTTTAACAGCAACTGCTGGGAAACATCCACCAAAGCTTGCTGCCTGGTCCTTCCCATTTCCATTATACTTGCACACACGTTTACTCTTTAGGATTCCAGTGTTTATGTGTTTCAGAATGGGGGTTTTGCATATACCTAGGTTGAAAATCATGATCTCTGTCTTCAATCTTAGTATTCATTTTGACCATATTTTATGATAAATGACCTGGGTGACAGACTCGGTGCTGTCAGGAGACGTTCCCAAACTTCAGATCAGCGCATGTGGGATATTTTATACAGGGGAGAAATGCTTCAGGAAGGAGTGATACAGAGGGAGCAGGCCAGGTGCCTGGTTATCAGGCTCTTGTGCCCCTTCAGCTGTCCCCAGCGATGAGACACGACCGTATGTGCTGGCATGGATGAGCCAGGACGCACAGCCTTCTGTCGCAGCAGCTGGGAGTCTGGCACCTAAAATGGTGCTAGAAACCCTTGTTTAGGCAACTGAACCCTATTCAGGCTGCCTTGGGGAACCTTCCTGAAATAATATGCAGGTAAACGTGGTGCCTGTCATGGAGGAGTTGAACATGAAAGGGTTCTTGCTGATCGGGGGTAAAAAATATCCCACCAACAAAGCCCATAAATGCCAATTAAAAGGAAGGTGCTTTAAATGGCTGCACTTAAAGAAATTAAAAGGGTTTTAGGCAGCAGTGAAACTGCTCTGAACAGGTCTTGAGTAAGATAACTCTGCCAGTGATGGATTAGCCACAGCGAAAATACTGGTCTTTGCTCCTTTCCCTTAGATTGGAGGGAAAATGTCACTTCAGTCACAACACAAGTCACAGCTGTAACAAACATGCCTCCTCCATTCAGTACTGGGTCCAGCTCCCCACTGCTGGGTGGCATTGGCTGCTGTGCTGAGGTAAACTCCCAGTTTCTTTGACAAGCCACATTATTTCTTGGGTGCCTTTGCAGTATGGATTTTTCTACTTTGCCTCCTCTGTCAGTGTCCGAATGGACATCACTAAGATAGCACCTCTGTGGTAGTTCTTGTGGCATCCACGTCTTCTACCAGGGTCTCCACATACAACACAATCTCCCATCCCCATTTTAAGCTTTAATCCAGCACTTGAGCAACAAGGGAAGAGTCAGTGTGGGATATTCACTGTGGTGCTGGAGCCAAGACATCCCCAGAACACCTGCAAGCTTAATGAGCCTTTCAAAACGCTTGAAATGATTTTTTTTTTCCCAGGAAGTGAAGTACCATCTTTTTCTTTAGTAAGAGAAACTTAGCAGTGGTTGTTTAACATGAGCTTAGCTGTAGGCACTGGTCCAGGCTGGGTGGGCGTTGTTTGCTTTATGGGAATCTTTTTTTTTTTTTTTTTTTTCCCTTAACTTGCTTCCCAGATGCTGGGAGGTGTTTCAGCTGCTTTGTGAGTACATAAGGGGATGTGAATGTGGAGTATCTCACTGAAACAGCCTGCTCCCTTACCAAAGCAAGCTTAAATTTTGAAAATGATGTGGTGGGGACTCAACTGGGGAAATACTTCCATGAAAGCTGTTGCAGAGCAAAGGACTTCTGCGGTTGTGGTTCAGGTTTCTTACCACTACTTTAGTTCCATAGCTGGGTAAACACCTGGGAAGATCTTGGCATCTTCAGTTATCTCTGAAATGGAGGCTTGACCTACTGAATCTGAGATCCGCCAGGCTGAGATCCACTCACACATTGGTTTTGGCCCCCAGCTCTAGGGAGAGGGAAGTTGTGTTTCTGTTTGCTTCTTTGTAGCTAGGGAGGAGTCAACTGGGGAAGCTGGTCGGTAGCAGTGGCTGAAATCCGCTGTGGCAAAAGTCTTGCTCTCCTGCTGAGTGCTGAAGGTTGATGGAGAGTGAGGTGAGTTACAGCTGCCAGAAAGGTGGAGATAAGAGTCTCAACTCCAGTCTTCCAGGTAAGATACTCACCTTTGATTAAAGTCAGCTTTAAAAATCCTGTCAGCCAAGTACAGGTGGGTCTGGAGGGATGGTCGAATCAAGGAAAAACAAATGTCCGTACAGAAGGCATCACAGAACTGAAGAAGTAGCCCATGGGTCTGAAATGCTTAGGTGCTTTTGTGCTTTTCTCAGTGAGCTTGTCTAGACCTTCAGGCATTTGAATATGTTTGGCAGTCTGCCCACTGATTCATCTGTTTTACTTCTTTGGCTTGAGTTTGTCCAAAATCACATGGTCTGGCACCTACTGGAGCAGCAGTTCTTGCATGTTGACCCTACTGAGTGTTTCTCCAAGAAGGCAAAAATAGGTGAAGTGAGGGGAGGGAGGTCAGGGTAAGGGCAGCAAGGAGGTAGGCATGTTGAGCAGTGAGTTGCTGATATGTCAGCTGAGACTTACAGCCACAGTTTGGACCAGCAGCAGCCCTTGCTGGTACAATGTGTTTGAACTTTGAGCTCTGTGTGTCAGTGAGCTCTTCCAAATGCTCAGGCTATGCAAAGGTCCCCAGGGTTATTTTGGATAGTAAAACACTAGAACGAGTCTCTAGGAGGAATAATGCCAAAGCTTATATCAATACTGCTTGAGCTATCCCTTATGTGAGAAGTCTCTTTTTAAACCACCAACTTAATTTTTTTTATGCAGAAGTAGCTTATAGCTAAAAAATATCCATCCTCAAGGATTCCCATATAAACCTTTTTGAAGTAAGGCCTCTTCCAAATTATAAATTAGGTATTTTTCTTCTGCTGTGGCTTCCACTGTTTCGTGGGCCAAAAGTAAAACAGAGAGGACATGAATCAAAACAAAGTTCTGCCTGCCCTTAGTCCAAGAACAATAAAGCTGGACAAGAGAAATTCCCTCGTCCTGCTGTCTCATGGGAAAGCAGCATTCTTCCTGTACAGGTCTGACTCCTCGCTCTCACACAGCAGAGGCCTGGGATGGACGCTTGCAATAAGCATGGATATAGCATTTCATATTTCATAGGTTGCACTGTCTGGAAAAGATGCTTTCAGAACACCTGTGAGCTTAATGAGCCTTGCAGAGGCTGGGGATGATATAGATGGGGAGTGTGTGTAATTCAGTCAATTTGAAGAAGATAAAGTAGATAAGGCCTGTAAGAGACCATTCAGATCATCTGTCCTCGCATGAAACAGGTTTGATTCCTGCAGTGGGAATGCAAATATTTCTTCTATAAGAAGTGCTGGTTTGGGCCTGAGATTTGAAATGAAAAGCAGTTTATGTTTACTTCTGTCTGTTCTTAGAGTCTGCTCTGTGTCATTTAACAGCATCCAGAAGAGACAAATCTTGCCTTGGTAGAACAGCCTTTTCTTCAACTTGAATGTCATGTTTTCTTTAGTGAAAGGAAAAAAACCTAGCTTTTGCTGTTGATGAACATTGATAACCTCTGCAAGGGTGTTTGCTTGTTTGTTTGGTTTTTTTTTTTTTTTTTGTTTTGTTTTTTGTTTGTTTTTTTGGTTTGGTTTTTTTTTTTGTTAATCGTGTTAGAAAAAAAGTGTGCTTGATTTTAAACCTATGCTTACTGTATTTTTGCTGGCGTATTCAGGAGCAGTTTATTCCTGTTACTCATACAGTACCACAGAAATACTTGGTGCTTTGTAGCTATAAAAAGGGGCCTGTTAATGGTGCTTCCAGGCTGTGAGATGCTTGTTTTTATTGCGCACCAGTTCTCCTGGTTTCTCTGTGCCCATTCCAGCACAGAAGGCATGACCAAGGATTTTTAGTTCTCTGCTACACAAGAATATGGAAGCACCTAATGAAGTTTAAAGGTGGCAGGCTTAAAAGTGATAATAGAGAATAAATACCTTCTCAGAAGTGGGGAACTAGCTGTATGACAGTGCTGAAAACAAATATCTCATATATGTATCAAGAATATTTGGAGAAGTTGCAGTTAATGCTGATAACCTTCAGAAGGGAGCTACTTGTTCTTCAAGTAGCTGTTAAATAGTAGGGATTGGGATGAGATTTACTGTATGGATCAGACTACCCTAGATCTCACTGCATTTCACTTGAATGAAGCATCTTGTGCTAGCCACTGTGAAGGATGAGGGTAGTGGGCTTGCTGGAATTCAGGTCGGATCCTTTGTGGCAGCCCTGATGGCTGTGGTCTCCAGTGGTCAGGTCTCCTCTGTCACAGATACTGTGCTGGCCAGGAAGGAAGGAGTATTTATTGTTTAACAACTCTGGAAGAGGGGGATGGGAATG